GGCCAAGTGAAGGAACAGCTGCTACCAGTGAATGAACACCCAGTAAAGGAACACTTAATTTCGGTTATTTTTTAATGCTTTTTATGAATTTATAAGCCCTACAAACATTTAAAAGCAAGCCTATTCTTGAAATTATGACATATAAATACTTGGAAAATGTTAACTTTTTTTGTAATCAAGAATTGAAAATTAAAGTGTCAACATATTAACACATACTGTTTATTCACTGGGAAATCTATGCCCAATAAAGGAACGTGCCTGTTCCCTCTCTGGTTAGAAGTTATTTTTCGCATTTTTAACATACTTTTGATGCGGAACATCACTAAAGGTACAAGAAAATTAAAGTTTATCTTTCATTTTCATTAACTTAGAAAAAAACCCAGTGAAGGAACACTTGTTATTTTACTGGTTTTTCATCATTTGGTGATCCAGTGAATAAACACCCCCTTATCTCAGTACTTTATTATGCTATGATGCTTAAAAAAATAAAACGTAACTTCAATAACCATATTTTGAATTCTATTTCTTACAGTGAGAAAAATAAAACTATTACATGCAATTAATTCCACTTCAAACATATAAATACAAACACTCACCTTATAATTTTTTCAAAGAAACAAGGCGTTGCAGAGATAATAACAAATTCTAAAATTTTTCCAGAGAAGTCTATTTGACCAGGTAATCCAAAACATTGCTAGATGACTTCCTATTGTTTGGCAGTAAGCTACTGTTACCAATCAATCTAAAGAAAAACTTTCAAATTCTTAATTTTAATCAATATGTATGAAATGTTCCTTCACTGGGCAGGGGTGAAAGGGAGACGGAAAAGAGGAAAGGCTGGTAGTAAAACCATTTCAGTTATAGCTAGTTTTGGGGAGGAGTTTACTTAATATTTTTTTTAATTTTTCAACATTATCTACTTTATCTTGGAAAAGAAGCAGTTTTATATATATGCCAGAATTATAAAAGAAATCTTGATAGTTACAGATATTTCATTTTTTCGAAAAAAATGCTGGAATGAAATGTTTTACGTACCAGGTTTTTCTCTTTTCCGTCTTGCTATATAAGGGCTTTCACCCATGTCACTGGGTAGTGTTCCTTCACTGGTTGGTTAACCCTACTAAGTATACGTTTTGAAACAATTTCTTTTTTTGTTTTGCGATATTGATTTAAAGTTATTTTCACACTAACTATACATGTTAATGATTGAACATCAAGAGCTACTCTGACGTGCGATTGAAAAACCAGCGTGAGATGCAAAAAACTCAAAATTGAGATTTTTATAAATTTGTCATCTTTATAGGGTAATTTACATACTGCAAATTTTTTTCCCTCAAAAATGAATTTAGTTTTACCGATTTTTTGAAATTCTATTTTAGAGTTCAAAGCAATAGCAACAGATGAAGAAAAGTTGTCTAGCCACTTTTCTCGGAATCAATCATGAAGCATTTGCGTTTTTTATTGTATTGTACGGTAGAACTTTGTTCCAGCTCGCTCGAAGTGAGGTTTTTTAAAATAATGACTAATCAAAAACTCTCGAAGTTTTAATTATTAATTGTTTCCTACTCAACACATTTTGCAAAAAGCATATTAGTTGGCAGCCCTGGTTATAGATGATCCCTGGGCATTAATGGGTTAAATTTTATTGTTATTGCTGAATCGGGTATTTCCATCTTAACGATACTATATTCATAATTCATATTTAACTCTAGAAAGAATGAAACTTAGTGTGTACCTACATACCCTAAAAGGAGTAAAAATGACTGTATATTGGAAGAATAACTAATGTGTGAAAAAAATTTTCAATTAATTTTTAATATTTTTATATTATTTACATTTATGTAACAAATCATTGGTAAACATTAACAATAAAAAAATTTCCTTTACCTGGAAAAAAATAATTTATGCATTATTATTTGTAAATTTTTTTCAAATGAAAAATCAGTTAAAAAGCAGTCAAAATGACTTCCCTGGGCAATCTAGTGTTAATAATTATATATATGTCATCAATTCAAGAAGTTAAGCCCTTAACTTTTGAGCTCGAGTGAGCTAAATCGAGTGAGCTAAACAGAAGAAACTGTGCACACTCGAGATAATCTTATGCTGCTATAATTTTTCACACTCGAACACAATCGAGAATTGAAGATAAGAAGGTGGCTGAGTGGCGCAGTTAGTTTGTCGTCGGCCTTCTGAGCTCAAGTCTGCGGGTTCGATCCCCGGCCCAGACACCGGATTTTCGGGATGCAGAAAATCCTCAGCGGCCATGTCGTATGATTATGCGGCATGTAAAAGATCCGTGGAGTTCCTTATTGGCTCTTGGCATTTCCGGCAAAATTAAATTCAAAATTAAGTTTTTTTTACGACAAAAGTAAAAATTGTTTTCGCTTTATTCAATCTCTGTGAAGATTCAAATTTTGCGTCTTTTGCGCCATGTGTAGCTCTGAAGTACAATTCGCTTTTTATAGGAACTTTAATAATGTGATGGCGGAAATTCAAGATTTTTAGTTTGTTTAATTAAAGGGTTTGTTAATTAAGTTTAATTTAAATATTATCTGACACACAAATTCCATAATATAAGTGTGCAAATCCGTTAGTTATAAACTAATAAAATGTAGAGGAATTGAAATAATTTAAAAAAAGACACAAAATTAGAATCATTAATTTTTTTTAAACATCGAAAGGTTAATTTAAACCAATCAATATCTTAATTATTTTTTTTTTTGAAATACAAAGCCAAAAAAGCTGAGAAATTCTTTCTCGTATGTAGAAAATATTAAGATATTTCAGTATCTGACAAAATATTTCGAGACTTAATTACTAAACTTAAATTTACTATTACTTAAATTACTAACTATACGGATTTTTCTCTTAAGCCTCCTTTCACTGGCAAAGATCCTGAAAAGTAAAGGAAGGTTCTGATAGTTTAAAATACGTATTTTCTTTTGAAGAAATGTATCTAACCACCCAAGTAAAATTTCTCCTGATGAGAAATTGTGGATTGAATTCAATTCAGGGCGACCCCACAAAGAGTTTGCAGAAGGAACTGTCAACTGTTAAAATATTAAATGAATAACATGATAACCACCTATCCTGGTGGTAATCATGTTATTCAAAGAGTTCTTGTTGAGTCTAAGAGGGTGGGATACGGCAGCTAAAAACATGGGAAGGGGGGGGCGTACAAGCAGTACTCNAAAACATGGGAAGGGGGGGGGGGAGCGTACAAGCAGTACGTGCCCTCCATGTGAATAAAACTAAAAGTCCAAACTTATACCATTTTTGAGAATTATTTTTTTTAGGTAAGTTCTTTTGTCTTTTAGAAGCAAATATATTTCAGAAAAAAAACTTCTCTCAAAAAAGTTTTGAATTTTTTATTTATAAAGAAAAAGAACAGTAAATATTAAAAAAACATAGGTATGATATTTTTTATGATCAATGATTTCCTGCCTATGTTGACTTTTTCTTCTTCCCCCACAAAACACCAATGAGGGATAAATTAATGTACATTAATTTACAAAAAAAAAAAAAGCATTTAAATATTTAAAACAACGTATTTATGCGCATCTATGCATTTCTTTTTTTTTACTTAGATTTCAGCAAAAAGGAATCTTTTTAAATATATATTTTTTGTTTAAAATTAGTTTCGTTTAATTAAAAAATCATAATAAGAAAAGAAAAAAAAGAACAGTAAATATTGTAAAACATAAGTATTATCTTTTTCATGATCAATAATTTCTTGCCTATGCTGACTTTTTCTTCCCAACAAAACACCAATGAACGATAAATTAATGTACATTAACCTACAAAAAATAAGCATATAAAAATAAATATTTAAAACAAAGTATTTATGCGCATCTATGCAATTCTTTTTTTTTTTTTTTTTAGATTTCAGAAAAAAAGAAGATTTTTAAGTACTATATATATTTTTTCTGTTGTTCAAAATTAGTTTCGTTAATCAAAAAATCATAATAAGAAAATCTGTTTTTTAAATACTAAGTAAGAAATCAGCTTACAACTAGTATCTTAAAATAATAATTATTAACGTCAATACTGAACTCTTTCTCTCCCTTTTTTGCTACCTCATTCCCCAACTGACTTAAAGAGTAACCCAGTTTCCATGACAACGGTTGTTATCCGGTCTACCTACCTTTCTCTCCAGTGCCAACTTAAGGTGGAATGGACTATAGTACACTTTAGCATCCAAATAGAGTCTTTTTGCTGCCATCTAGTGTGGCAGAAACTAGACGTACAAATTAACATGACCAACGGTATCTCACCCATTGTGGTGGTCCTGAAAGAGTGGATACCACCTTTGGAGAACGCACTAGGTCTGCTCATCGGCAAGACCGATTGTGCAGCTCATTGGAAATAAAATATTTATCATTTACATAGGATTGTAAGCTAGAACACTTATTTATCCAAGAATGAAATATACAGAGATGCCAACTTGCTCCGGACAACAAATATATATTTTAAAGTGGTAGTTTATCAATTGTGATTCTTGGTTTAATAAATTGAATTTAGTAGACTTTTATCCACCACTATTTCTAAGTAATTCGTAGGCTTATATAATTCACCACTTTTTAAAAAGTTTTAAAAGCTCGTGTCTTGCATATCATGACAAATCAGTTGGTGGCCCTTAGGGCCAAATACTGAGATCCTCCGAATATCAAGCAATTAAAAGTACGTATATCATGCTGTACCTTTTAAAAAGTCAGCAAAAATAGTCAAATATTTGCAAAATTTACTTTGTAGTTATTTACCGTTTTTTAAAAATTATTTTGGCGTTTCCGGAGCAGTTGGCATCTCTGAATATAATCTTTTCGAAGCGAAAGCGCAGTCTATCAAAATTATACATCAAAAGAAAAGACAATGTTTTAAAGTGTGTTTTTTTACATTAAAAAAATTGATTTCCTTTGGCTGGTTTTTTTTCTCCAAAAAATCTGTGCGTTAAGGGGTTAAAAGTATAAATAAGGTAAAAGAATAACACAAAACAATTTATATTATATAAAATGAGACTTTTACTATTTTCAGTAAAGTATATGAATTTATACAAAGGTCGAAATGTTCCATTAGAAAATATGGCAACAGTTGGCAGGAGTGTCTTGAAATGTAGAAAAAAAAGTATTCAAAAAGAAGACAAATCGAAAGACTTTTAGAAACATCATCCAATGGGCTTAGTAGTAATCTGAAACACATCAGCAAATCAAACACTAAAATTTTTTTTAAACTATATACTACATATATTTTTTAATGTTTACAGTTCGCAAAATAAAGAAAAAGGGACTACCATGAATAACTTTTGATCTAATGATCGGATTTTCACGTTCAAAGACTCATTCTTAAGGGTTCGAAGGGATGACTTCAAATATACTAAGTAATTAATGCACCCGATATTTTAAGTTACGAAATCAGGCATGAAAATGTACTTTCTCTGAATAAACATACCTAATGGATTCGTGTTTCAGAAACACAAAATATAGGAGGAAGCAGCAATCTGGGAAATACAATTCCCATAGTTTGGTTAGGAAAGAGGTATAAAGCTTGGACCCCTTAATATTAATTTTACTTTTTGCGTGTTTTGCCTTATCTCGAGAGCTTCTTAAGCGAATTGAAAAATATTTTGTCCACAATTATAAATTCATTTACCCAAATATAATTTCATGCAAAAATAAATTTTAGTAAATATTTGTTATTTTATTTAATAATGGTCAAAAATGTTTTGCATTATATCGTATGAAACATTTTACATCATTTTAAAGTATGTATATGAACAGGGAAAAGTTCAAAATTTGTGCGAAATCGGTCGAATAGTTTCAGAGAAATCGAATTTTAAGAAAGTCGTATACATAAAATTCATTTTCTCAGGATTTACTCAACCGATTTCACTAAAAATTCGGATTTGACCATGTGAAATTAAATAGTTGAAAACGACGTGAAAAATTGTGCGTCGAACAAATCAAAATTTTTTCGACTGTTTTTAATAAAAATAATACATATTTACTGAAATTCGTTTTTTTTGCATTGAATTATCTTAAGATGAATGAATATTATAATTCAGTGCGCAATTTTTTCATTTCGCTTAAAAAGTTCCCTAGATATGCGCAAAAAGTAATAATGACATTAAGAGGTCCAAACTTTACATGCTCTCCTGATAAAAATATTTCCCTGATTGTGCCTACCTCCCTATATTTTTTTGTGGGGATGGTCAAAAACTTGAATTATTTTTTTTAAAAAAAAGATATGTTTATTCAGAGAAAGTACTTTTTTGAATTTCGAAACTTAAATTATCGGTTGCACTAATTAATTAGCATATTTGAAGTAACCCCCCCCCTCGAACAATTAGTTCCAGAACGTGAAGATCTGATCAAAAGTTATTCAGAGTGATCTGTTTTTTATTTTGCGCAATGAACACTGAATATTCACAACTTTGTTTAATGTTTTAGGATATTACAACAATTATTTTGCAAAAAATACTTATCAAATAAATAATTTTCAAAGCAGAACACTATTTTTTTTTTGCTCTTATAGATATGTTTTTGAAGAATTATGTTCCAGTGGTGGCGAACCAAAAGCAAAAGCTTTATAAAATTTTTTTTTTATAAACTTAAGAATATTTTTTCAATTTAATCTGACCTGTATTATGACTGTTCAAATTATTTATGAGTGGTGATGGGTAAATCTATTTTAAGCTAATTTATTAAAATTACTGCCAGTGGGAAAAATTTAGGACTATAGTACCGTTATTATAGTATTATAATTTATTATACATTGCTACATTATTTATAAAATTTGCTAGATAGAGCTAAAATTTCTGAAACTGCGAAAATTTCGCAGCATTTGGAGGGAATTGAACTTAAAAAATATAATATTACATTAGCAAAGATGCCAACTTTCTCCGGACAGCAAATATATATTTTAAAGTGGTAGTTTATCAATTGTGATTCTTGATTTAATAAATTCAATTTAGTAGATTTTTATCCACCACTATTTCTAAATAATTCGTAGGCTTATATAATTCACCACGTTATGATACTTTGGTCATGCTATGCCTTTTAAAAAACAAGCAAAAATATTCAAACATTTGTAAAATTTACTTTGTAATTATTTACCGTTTCTTTAAAATTATTTTGACGTGTCCGGAGCAGTTGGCATCTCTGCATTAGGGAAAACGCAACAATACAATACAGATCGTCTTTTTTTAGTGGGTATACAGTGAAACCTCTCAGTTTTATTTCCTTTAAATGCAAATTTTAGTCGGGCAATACGTAGGTAGTTGGGATCTCAGACGATGCAGTTTTATTAACGGAGCGTTCTGTATCTCTTTGTTGTTTTAACCCGTTTTGTCCCGACTTTATATATTGAAATCATACAAGAAGTGGTTTTATGGAAAGGGTGGTATAATATATTATCATACCTGCTAACTTTTAATCCTTTCCATTATCATTTTTCCCAGTGGTATTAAAATGGAATTGAAACTTCAATTTTAAGCAAACAAATACGTTGTATTTGAGAAACCTTAAGTTCACAACCATGATAGTAACGCATATTAATATATGTGCTTAATTTTTCTAAGAATAGTGGTGATCAAATCATTTAAAAATTAAGTTTATAAAAGAAAAAATAGTATATATTTACTACCTCTTTAAATATAAAAATAAAATCTTCCCGAAAATCCGGAAGAGTTGGCAGATATGTATTATCGAAATTAATTGGTTTTTCTACTGTTAGGGCAAAGAGTCTTTGATGGATCAAAAAATACTAGCCTTTTTTAATTCTAGATCTAGTCAGAAATAACTAAATCATTGTGGTATCTGAGAATCTTTTAATTCACCCAGATAAATGAAAATGCTGAAAAAAGTTTCCCATCACTACGAATGGTTTTGAAAAAAGGAACTGTCCTAAATATATGACGCTGGGCGTTAACTGGTTACGGTCACGTGATGAGAATAGGATCTCACTTCTTAGCAATGTCGTCATAATACTCTGAACTCGTCGTCATAATACTTAAGTTTGATAAATTTGAAACAACAACCAATATGCTATCATTTAAAAGGTAGATTAGTACTCAAAATTAATTAACAGTACATTTTTTAAACAATTATTTTATTCACTGGTATTTTGCAGCATAAAAGGACAATAAATTATTACTTACAATTTTTGTACTCAAAACGGTATCCATTTGTATATTCAAATTGTGGCCTGATGTCATTGCTCTGAAATAAAAAGAAAGAATCAGATGCATTAAAAACTTTTTTTAGACCATTACAACCTTTATATTTCGAAATATTTACCAAGTTTGAGTAAAATGTTTAGATTATCCATAAATAAATACTCGGTTTAACATTTTATTTTATTTTACAACCGTCGTTGAACTGCTGACTCAATTTTAGGTTTGCGATTACTAATGTTCAACTCTGTAATCTTGTAATTTTGAACCTAATCCAGAAGACAAGGGAACTCCTGGATCAAGTATCGAGAGAAATTCGCTTTCGAGAAGGAGGTTTTGATGGAACTAACCCGCATTTGCGTTGCAAGAAGAGGAAAACCACAGAAACCTCCCATGGTTAGCCTGACGTCAAGAGGACTACAACCTATGATTCGTCAACCATAGAGGATATTTTTACGTTAGCACTATGGCCGGGTGCGGGATTAGCATCAACCAGCTATCGCTTAGATTCGAGCCCAGCTCATAGCTTGGTAGGCGAACGCCTTATTCTCTGAGCAACCAAGGCTCTGGTTTAACATTAAAATAAATGCTTATGCATAAAAGCAGTATCCTATTCAAAATATAAAAATATTAGGAAGGTTATGGATATTTTTCGCCATATTTTTTGGTTGAAACAAGCTTGACTACTAGGGTATGCTAATAATTGAATAATCATACTAAACTGAAATGGCGAACTTCTTAGGTTCTGAGCCAGCGGATTCTTCAAAATATTTGATGTATAAACAAAATTAATGTGTACAAATTTTTATTCGAAACTACTTTGACTACCAGAATATTTAATTAATTCTAAGCTGTAACTCACAACATTCCCATAATGTTTTTTCAGAAAGAAGAAGATTGATAACTAAATTACTTTATTATTGTAATTTATCTTGGAGAAACAATAAGATATATATGTCCCTCAATATTATAACAGAGATGCCAACTTGCTCCGGACAGCAAGTTTATATTTTAATGTGGTAGTTTATTAATTGTGATTCTTGGTTTAGTAAATTCAACTTGGTAGATTTTTATCCATCACTATTTCTAGAAAATTCGTAGGCTTACATAATTCACCACTTTATAGTACTTATGTCATGCTATGCCTTATAAAAAGCAAAAATAGTCAAATCTTTGCAAAATTTACTTTGTAGTTATTTACCGTTTTTTAAGTTATTTTGGCGTGTCCGGAGCAGTTGGCATCTCTGTTATAAATGTAATTATGAGTAATTGTTTAAATCAAACACCACATTAATATACATGGTGTCTCGTGTTTTCCATTAACTTAACGACTAGCGTATGAACGTAGTGGACGACAAATTCTGTTCCCAAACTGCGCTCTCCCACACGTAATACAAATAATAGCAGCCAAAAAATACAAAAATTTTTTATAGGCCATTTCAAAGTGCGACAAATTGATGTCTATGGTATTCGAATCTCTATGTATCTGATACGATATCTTGCCTTTGGTACTTATTTGCAGGTATACTATGCTTGTCCGCAGTTAATCCAAGCATAAGCCGCTCTCGAATTGCAAAAAGAGCAAATGAGCCATGTGAGGCACATTTTTTCGACCACTATAAGGCATTCTTGTCAACTACTACGCTTTTTGCAAAATATTTTATAGAGTGGTAAACATTTAAAAGTCAATATTTATAGTAATTTTGCTAACATTTTAAAAAGCCTCACAACCGAAGAGCTGAAACAAAGTGGCATATGAAATTTTTAAATCATTTATATGTAGTGATGTGGAAAATACGTTCAAATGAATAAGAAATAATACATTTAAACAAAAACTGAGCTACCACTAGAATAAATGTTTACAAAAAGCGTAGAAAGCTAGCAGTCCTGGATAAAGTGATAAACAGTTGGATACATATCCAGGCCAGCCAACTACTACACTTTTTGTAAACATTTATTCTAGTGGTAGGTCAGTTTTTGTTAATAAAAAGCGTAGAAATTTATTAGTTCTGTATAAAGTGATACAGTTGGATACATTCGTTCGTTCGTTGCAGTGGAACTGGGTGTCTGAGGCCTTACGGCCCTTTAGTTGGATACATATACAGGCCTGCCAACTACTACAGTTTTTTAAACATTTATTCTAGTGGTTGGTCAGTTTTTGTTAATAAAAAGCGTAGAAATTTGGCAGCCCTGTATAAAGTGATACTGTTAGATACATATACAGGCCTGCCAACTACTACACTTTTTGTAAGGCTTTCAGAATTTTTGATAATTTTGCCAATATTTCAAAATCCCTACCACGAAAGAGCTGGAACAAAGAGGCAAACTTTCAAATATGTAGTGGCGTGGAAAGGAAGCTTAAATAAATAAGAAATAATACATTAAAACAAAAACTGAGCTACCACTAGAAAAAATGTTGAAAAAAAGAGCCGAAAGTTGGCTGCCCTGCATATTGTAAAATTCAGTATGCGCATATCTGATACGGTGATACGGGTAAATAGATCCTGGTATATTCGCATCATTACAGTGCAGTATTCCTTAACCTTGCGTTATATAATGATGGCATATTTTTGCGCTTGGTTTATGTGAATACAGGGCTGCCAACTTTCTAAGAATTTTGCAAAAATTTATTCTAGAGGTACCGAAGTTAAACTTTTAATGTATTATTTTTTATTCATTTGAGCTCATTTTCAACACCATTACATATAAATGATTGAAAAGTTCACATGCAACACCGCTTCGTTCCAGCTCTCAAGTGGTGAGGCTTTTAAAATTTTTGTTAGCAGGCCTGGAATAGAAATTTTCAATCCGACTTAGTTATTAAAACATAGGATGAGTAAAAATTTTGCTTCATTATCGAATTTATAGGTTAATAAAATTTTTTACTCCTGTGACATTTGAAGCTAACGTTTTTATTTTTTCACAGAAAAAAAAATCTTATTATGAGCATTTGTTTTCTCCATTTTTGAGATTCAATTACGAAATTAAAATTTTCAACTTATTAAAAACTTGGATTACGAGACATACTTACACGAAAAATTTTATTCAAATATTTGACATATTTTTCCAAAACGGCATATCTAAACTGCCTTGAACCACATCCAAGAAGAAATACTATAAAAACACCCTGAAAGAGTTAAGTAAATTACTGTTAATTTATATTCATTGAAAAGAAAATAATATTATTCAAGTATATCTTTTCACTTTTATTTCTTGGGATTATTTATATTACTGTTTCATGTAACTTATACTTTTATCTAGAATTGGAAGTAGAGATTTTATTATCATTTTATGTAATTTATGATTTTAGCAAGAATTAGAAATAGTGACAGTGTTATTGTTTCATGTAAGTTTTTTTCCTGTTTATTTCAATCGACAGTAAAAAAAAATTTAAAATAAAATAGAACGAGTAAAAAAAAAAATTAATGAGTAAAGCTGTGGAACTAATCTCTAAAATTAAAACTAATTTCTTAACTAATTATTTTTATTTTTCAAAGAAAATAAAACTAAAAATTATGTAATTAAAAAAACTAAATTAATTTTAACAGTTTTTAAGAAAATCAATAGAGGCATTACAAATATTTTGCTTGAAGAAACTCTAACACATTTTTTAAAAAAAATAACAAATGATAATGCATCCAAATTTATAGTTCTTATAATTTCAGCACGTAAAATGTAAATTTTTTTTGATTTATCTTGGATTAAAGCTAACTTGTTATTTATGCCATAGTTCTTATTTATACCATAGTTTATCCAGAGTGGCTGAAAATTATATAGCAACAACATTACTTTTTGGTATCGATTCAAAACTACTTATTTATTTATTCAAATGAATATATTTAAAGTATTAAACAAAATAATTATTAATTTATAATTTTGATCAATATGAAGTTGTTCTTTTAATGATTTAGATAAGACAAAGCAATCAATTATGACTACGTTTCAAGAAATAGATGCCGAATAAAATTTAGTATTGCGTACACAGCAATCAAATGTGAGCTGATCAAATACAGGTACTCTGCCGAACTACCTAAAGTTCAATAAAGTAAATTGTTGAATTGGAAAGAAAAAAAAATTCCAAGAATAAAATTATTTTACTTTATGCTCAAGTTCAAGAGAGTCATCTTCAAAATAAGTTACCTACTCCATATANACAATTATTAACAAAAAAATTATAATTAATGCCAAAAAACAATTAATCACCATAAAAAACAAGCTAACAATAAATAACTAGCAAAAAAATTAACAGACCTGCTTAAAATAACATCTTACAACCTAATATAAGTTATTTGTCATCTAATCTGCAACAACAAAAGTCACACTGATGTTACTTTAAGTTGAATTACGCGTATTATTGAGACATTGCGAAATGTATTCTTTTTCATAGTAAATAAAGAGTTTTGAGTTTTCCCAGTAATCATGAAGTCAAAATTGTTTGACGGCACGTCTATGACCAAATTAACAATTTTTTAGAAAAAATGGCACGTTGGTGCATAAAGGTTCGCCACCCCTGTATTAGGTGATTATGTTTTGTTTCTTTTTGCAGCAAGTCGGAATTTTATTGAAAAAAGAAAAAAAACTCATACTTTGGTTCCGAAATTAACACATCCATTATTATGGGTCAACATTAGAGAAACCCTTATAGATGAAAAATGGACAATATATGTTCTACAGCTCATAATTAAAATAGTAAAATTGAGAAGAAAACAAATGTGCCTAAAATTAGATATGCGGGAGAAGTAGATGATGATCATCACTTACAATCCAACAGTTAAAAATGTGAAAAAGTTTCCTCCATCCTCGAAGGTTGACAGTGTCTATTTCAAGCCATGTCACCAATCCCGGGATCCAAACACCCATGAAATACAGAGAGAGAAAAAACAGCATTTTTGTGCTACAGCTGAAAACAAACACATATTGTTTTTATATACTATTATAAGGTTCTTATTATACAAATATTACTTAAATACATACGGTAGTATGTATTATGTATTAAATTCTATTTCAACATTCCTCTGATGGTTTCAAACAGTTATATCCGACCACAAGTTTCTTAGTGGTGTAAAAAAATGTCTTTAAAGAAATGATAGTACAACATTTTGTCATGGTTTATCTAAGGAGCAATTCTAACAAACAATAACATGAAATTGACATGTTCAGAGTTGCTCATTCNTTTCAGTCTTAAAAGTCTCAAACTGGAAGACAACTGCCAGGCAGAGACAGGCCTGGAGGAAGTTGATTGAGAAGGCCAGGGCCCACCCGGGGCTGTCGTGCCATTGAGGAAGGAAGGAAGAGTTGCTGAAATTTTAAAAGGGGTTAAAAGTGACATGACAAAAAGAAAGAACAAAAATAGCTTTAAACAAAGTAGACAAGAAAATGAATGTATAATGTAAATTGTTTATATTCGCCACAGATAAGATTTTAGTTAAGATTTATTCGCAGTTAAAATTTTATTCGCGGGTCGGATAAAACGCACCGGCTGTCCACAGTTGGCCCGCAGTTTGTCCATCACTAGTTTAGAGTTAATATACATTTTTTCGCTTTTTTTTTGTCCAGTACTTACTTTGATGTTTTGCTTTTTATTTTGAATATTATATTGTTCCAAGAGCAGCCCTGTTTTAATATTTAATTCATTGCAGGTATGCCTCTTTGTAAAAAAACATTTTCCAGTGGTAGGCGAAGTTAAAGTTATTTTTAGTTAAATAAATTTAATTTTGAATTATTTTGCTCATCACAACATATAAACATACAAAGCCTGATATAAAATGCATATTTTTAGCAGTCATTTCGGGGTGAGACTTCAAGCGAAAATGATTATTTAGTAGTATTACTTTTTATATTTGCTGTCATTTTATGAGACGTTTGCTGAAAGCGCAGCAGTTGGTTAAATTAGCATACCTGCCTGGTCTGGTCTTGTTGGTTGGTCGGGGTCCCTGAGGCCAAGATGGCCCTTTACCCCTTCATCATGAAGTAAATATCGTTGAAGTGAAACCTTGTGGTGATAAGCATAAAGCTAAAGTTGAAGTGGGGAGAAAAATGGCACATTGCCATGGTGCGGAAAAGCTGTGGTGACTTGAAAAAGAGTTGAGAGTAATCAACAAAAATGAAGTCTACTGTGCTTTGCTTGAGGAAAACATCTCGCTGTTTTTAAGATTACTTATCTCGAATTCATAATTAACATCTCCAGTCTCCGCTAGTAACTAAACTGGCGAGGACCCGAAGGACAATAGATGTTAGTAAAGCCAGACTCCTACTTGCGAAACATGCTTCGACCAGTCGGTTTCAAACGCAAATGACCGCCATTAACATGTCGGACAGGCCTAAATGCTACTAACGAAAGGTCAATGCAATCATCACGTTCACGTACGTCTAGGCTAAACAAGTTACTACTGCCGCTTACACGGTGTGTTCACGTTGGCTGGATTTGAAAACTATTTCATCTTGATGTTCTGTCTTTCAAACATTGATCAGTGATCGACGTCGCAGA